TATTTGTTGATAACACAACCATTTATTTCCTCTTGTCAGCAGATTCTTCAGTCCTTAATTTACATAGCCATGACTCACCTCAAGAAACTATAATTCAGGGTAACATAAACTTCTTCAGGTGAGAAAACAGTATGTTGTCTATCTACTCAGGCTCCTGAAATTGTTACTTCCCAGTGGCTCATTAGAAAATTGAAGAGAGAGCATCTAGACACATTTCTAAATGATTAAAATTCCCCACAATTTTGACATATGAATTTATGAGAGATATACTGACATATAATATATACTCCATAACGTACTACTAGACTTCTAAGCCCAAAGTGCATTAGAGCACTCATCGTACATGAGAAAACTAGAACCCAGAGTTTTGTGAATGCCTCAAGGCTTCAACTCAGATAGGGCTGTAGTTGTGAATTGTATCATTTATCTGCAAAGCACAGGTTAGTAGTTAACGTATCCTGAAAGAACAAATACAATGACATGTCTCACGCATAGTACAATATTACTAGGCATAATGTGCACTAGTCATTTCCTTTCTTCTCTCTCACTTCTATTATTATTATTTTCATTATGACATTTTTATTCACTTTAGTTAGCATTTCATTACCTTACATAAGGACTATATATTTATATTCAGGTTTTTCAAGACAGTAACAAAAAATGAGCATGAGTGAAACATCCATTGAAACTCAAGTACTAAAGCATAAAAATAATGTAGAGAACTCTGGTGTCACATATACATTTCTGGTAAAATCAAAGGAAATATCCAAGACATTACATTTAGTAATTTCAGTGCATTTAAATGTACATACCACATAAGGTGCAGACTATACTTTGGTTTATAGAGACTTCAGGTTGATACTTGGCCTAGGGACATCTTTATTATCTTTCCTGTGTGTTCAATTTACCAATATGAAATCACTAATAACAATGGAGATATATATCATCTACAAATATCCCTAAGTAAAATCAGATGCCCATTGATTCCTTAAACTCTATCTCTCAATGAGCATTCATGCAAATTTATCAAATAATTGCTAAGGCATCTTAAGGGAAGAATAGCAATTTATCTTTCATATTAGAATATATTTGTATTGTTTATTTGTATTTATGTAGTTTATATTTTATATCTTCTGCTAGAATTTAAATTCTCTACTAAAATGTACATTGCTTACAAATAGAACGAATCTAATGCGTTGCTTTGTTTTGGCCCCTATCCCACCACCACCATGTCTTATCCTTTGCCTGCCTGGTCCATTGTTTTGAATATGATAGACTCAGAATCCAGATAGGTATGAGAGAGAAACTGACATGGGGTCACTTCTGGTTATGCTGGGCACATTGACAAATAAATCAGAACTCTTGGTTGCAACTGACAAACTCAACATGAAAAACTCAACCAAAATAAGGAATGTATTTTATTTAACTGAGAGAAAGGCAAGAAGCCAAATCTCAGGTAAAACTGGCAGGCAACCAATACTCTTCTCTTTTCATCTCTCCTTTAACTGTATTGACTCAATTCTATCTAAATTGGCTTCTTTTCAATGGCAGATACTTCCTTCCATGTGATGGAAGGTCTGGTGGCTGTCAGACACTCAGGCTTTTTTTTGTTTTACTTTGTTTTTGTTTTCATTTTTGTTTTTTTGCCACCAAGGAAGTACGGAGACTCAGACTCCCCGGCCCCTAGAAAAAAATTCCAACCTCAGCTGTCCATGCATGAATCAATCACTGTGAACAGGGCGATGGGGTACCCTAACTGGCCAAGTGTCAGATGGGGTACCCTAACTAGCCAAGCTTGGGCCAGGTGTCCATAGCAAGTTAATAACTGCAGTCTGGAAGGCAGAAGCCATACAGAAAGATAGTGGCTTCTATTCAACTCACAGAGACAAGATGGAAGAAGCATTTCTCAAATAAGGCACTGAGAAGATACCTGCTCGTTTGGGAAGACAAGGAATAGGTGTTGAATACAGTTGGCAAAGATGTTGAAGGCAAAAATGCAAACACCCATTATTCAGGCTAAAAAAATGATCAGCTACATCTTCCCAACTCATTGACTCATCCAAATTTTTAAGGCTCACCGGACATGAGTCTTTACCCTAGAAATGAGTATTACCATCAGTGTTAGACAGAATTATCATTTGAAATGTGTAACAATGGGTATTACATAGACATTGACTAATCTGAACAGGGCCCCAGCCAATAAGGAAAACAACCCAGCTCTGATAGGAACCCCAGTACATACAGTTTGAATACAATTTACTCTAATGTTAGGGCAAGTCCCCACTGAATGCAATATGTTTGCAGACTCTCCACATGCCATACTTTTAGGCATATTAGTCTATTACGCTCTATTCCTCAGAATAACAAGTAACATGAGAAAAATCAAATTCCAGAAAGGTAAAATTTTTGCATATCTGTAATGTACATAAAATCACCCTGATAAACTATTAAAATGTAGAGTTCATAACTTTACCTTCAAAAAATTCTTCATCATCCGGCTTAGAGTTGGATTCTTTTGCTTGAAATTTTAATCAGTTGTCCAGATATTTCTGTTGTCATTGGCCCTGGTACTGAAATGTGCTCAGAGAAACATTGCTCCAAATTGCATGTCACTTAGGGAAAATCATCCCAACTCTTTGTAAGTAACTGGAATAAATAAGAAAATCAACAACCATAACGGCACAGAAGGAGAGTAATGTGCTCTCAGCTGGAAGGCTTCTGTTTATTGGGAATAAGCGTAATTTAAGGTCATCTTCTAATGGCACATAATTCTAAAGTAGGGCAGCCAAGTAAGCCAGAAGAGGCAGGTATGGGGAAGAAGACAAGGACACATTGCAGAGACTCTTGGACAATATTCAGCTCCATGCTAGGGGCAACCCAAAGATCAAAGCGCTATGTTGACTGAAGAGACAAGTCCAATATTTTGGTCTTCTTATGGACACTGTGGGGTATTGTTCGGACTTAGACTGCTCCCTCCCTCCCTCAGGGAGAGGCCTCTGGCCTAGGATGGTCTCTGAAGGGTGCGCATATTCTCAATAATGAGTCATGGGATGCAGGTGACCTAGTCAGATTGAAAACAACATAGTCATCACTCTTAACCAATGCAATTGCAAGCATCAATAGGAATTTGAATAATTAGCTGGTTGATTTGATTATAAAACTGCTTGTGATTCTTCACCGATGGTCAGCATGCCTCCCACAAGAATCAACCAATGTCTTTCCCTGCTGGGCCTCCAGGTGACTTCTATAGAATAGGTAAATATCATGCGCAAGCCCTTTCAGATTTGTGGTTACCAAGTTACAGGCACATAGCTATGAGGCTGTTTCTCTCTCCTTTCTGTATCAAACCCTGCCAGCAATTATAAGCTAAGCTGCATATGATTTGAGATATTAAAAATTACAGCTAAAATAAACCATGTAGCTATGACAAATAGTCAACAATTAATGTAGTCCACAGCATATGCCTAGACTTTATGCTCTGTGATGTCAGGAAAATAGCCCTGGATGTAATGTCAGAAAATTCCTATTTTTGCTGCATGTCCACCAACAGCTTTCTGTAGGACCTCGGGCCAGTTTACTTGATCTCTTTGACTCTCAGTTCTTTCTTCTTTGAAAGAAAGAGGGCAAATGATATAAGCTAAGGTCAGCTTTAGTTCTGACATCATTAGCCCATGAAATGTAAAACAAAACTGAACTGTGCAATGTGATGAATTAGGAAAGAGCAAGACACACCTAAAGAGCTTTCTCCTCTGTCCTTATAGCATGACTCTCAGAGTTAAAATTTTTAAAATGAGTTCTAATTTCTTACAGCGTAACTCAAATTCATAAATGTTATCGAAAGCCTCTTGTTCACACCTTTTTATTTTATTTTTAATATAGAGTTCAGATATTAGCCAGCACCGGGCCCTCGAGTGGGACTTAACAATGTCACTGGCCACAATGGAGATCATCTGAAGAACACCAGAGGCTCTGCTGGCCTGGGCCAGTTTACTTTCTGAACCCTCCCATGAGGACCCTATCTTTGAGTCATTCTTCAGTACTATAGCAACAAGAGAACATATTCTCTACAATTCACAAGCATCCGTTGGAAGAGATAAGAGAGAATATGCAGATCTGTCTCCTATTAGTCAATAGTATCAGTAATAATTTGGTATCATTCAGAGGCATCTCTAGATTGTAAAGGGCCTGAAACGTTGTACAAACTTGAGAGCTTATGTATTTCTAAATGTATCCGGTATCACTTCCCTTCACACCCCAACATGTCAAAAAACCTGATATTTCTATTTCTGGTGGTTTCCCATCTCTTTATCTTTGTCCCAATAGTTCCATTTACTTTATTTCCAATCTTTTCTCCACCTATCCAAACACTTATGATCATCTCAGATATGCATAATACTTAATACCTAATTCACAATAATGATTGTTTCTTATCTTCCAAAAATAGTTTTTCTCCCATACTTGGATGTACAGTATATTATTTCTCTCATTAAAGATATGCTTGCTGTGTGTTTGAAAACATACCTGATTAATCTCTGAAACTCCCAAGACACTAAGAAAAATGTCATGCATGTGATAGTCAATAAATTATGAGACTCAAAATAGATATTATTTCATTTGGCAATGATAAAGAATATTTTTTTGATAACTTTTTGTTTAAAAATAAAAATACTATTTACCATGAGAAATATCCATGGTTATGTATTTTTTTGGGGGGGGGAGAATAATTAGTAACTGAACTATCAGCATTGACTAACACTTTCAATAATTATTACTTTAAATGGCACTGAACATGCAGACAATCCAGTTCTCGAGGGAAGACTAGGATTGCATCATCATGATTGAGCCGAAGTGTGCTTCTTGTTTCAATGTTTCAAAACATTTAGCAGTCATCAAGCAGTCACTAATAACCAAACCACCATGATTTTTAGTGTGCCATCTCCAAGATTAAAAAACACGTGTAACATTTATTTAATATTTAAAGGCTATTCTTTATTTCCAAGGTGTGATGGGAGAATATGAGCCGAAAATTGAGGTCCATTTTCCGTTCACGGTCACAGCTGCTAAGGGGACGACAGTCAAGATGGAGTGCTTTGCACTTGGCAAGTAAGTACAAACTCTTTCATAATTAGACACCCTGGTGTATTAAAATGCTGTGTATCTTTTTTTGATTATTTACTCTACTAGGTTTCATGTCCCCAAAAGCTTCATGGTGGCTGTTCATTTTTTAAAAGAAGGTCATAAAGAATTGATGAAGTGTCCAATCATAATTAGCCTCCTACTCCTTTCTGTGGACAGCAATATATAGAATGTTGCTACTTTCACATAATGAAAACTTCTCTAAATAAAGAAGAAACTGTATATCTTTGCCTACTTGCCTTAGGATGTCAACATCATCCTTAAATTTCATTCAGCAATGACATAAATGAAAGGAGGATAAAAAGGCAAAGTACCATCTGCTTCTCATGTACAGAATGGAGATTCTGAGACGATTAAATAAGACAACAGATAAAAATCATAAGAAAAATAGTTACAGTCAGCCAACTGATTACTTCAGTGTCTCCAGAAGTCATAATAACATGACAGCCCCAGCTGTCAATAGGTACAACAGGTGATCATCCCCCAAATCAGGAAGATGATTTAAAACACACCTTAATGCCCGCTAGACTTAATGATTCCCTTTCTGAGGGTTGACATCTCGTGTCATATCCTCACTTGTCAATGATGTTTATAATATGGGTATTGGGATCATAGGCAGGAGTGGAATTTTGGTTATATTTGATTAGCATATTATGATTTATTTTCAGCAGAGTGTTGTTGTTTTCTTTTTTAGGATGATAAGACCTCAGGGTCCTTTCTAGACTCTATAATTATAATTTGCATAAATGCATCTCTATCAGAGTTACTAATCATTTAACTTCAGTTGCAGTGAGCTAACTCCCACGATATATCTATAAAGTAGTTGGAGATAAAACACACCACATAAATGTGCTTATTAATGTAGGTTTTGCCCGTGGGTGAGGTAAATATTAGCAAATATGAAAAATTCAACTAGTAAGTGGAGTTTTAGGAGATGGGTAGCATAAACACCTTGTGTTTTAATTTCAAGACTGATTGAAATGACACATATTGCAATTCTGCTTAAATCTAAGTAAAGGCAACAGCACAATAGATTAAAAGTAAAATTAATTGTTAGGTGGTCCTTCTTTTAAGCCAAAGGTATCCCTAAGTATAAATGCATTTTGAAACTTAGAATGAGCCGGGCTTGGTGGCTCAGCCTGTAATCCAGCGCCTTTGGGAGGCTGAGGTGAGTGGATTGCCTGAGCCCGCGGGTTCCAGACCCGCCTGGGCAGCGAGACCTCATCTCTACAACAAATCAAAAATCAGCCGGGCGTGGTAGCGCGCGCCTGTAATTCCGGCTACTCGGAAGGCTGAGGCGGAAGGATCGCCGGAGCCCAGCAGGCCGAGGCTGCAGAGGCCGGGAGCGGCCACTGCACTCCAGTCTGGGCGACAGAGTGAGACTCCAACTCAAAAAAACCCAAAACAAAACAAAACTTAGAATGTACCTCAGAGGTATTTGGACAGATATGTGAGGAAGTCTTCCAAATCTAATGATATTAGGTGCGTAAGACGGAATAATACCCTAAAAGTCTCTTTTGTCACTATCTGCTATGTTGTGGTGTCAAGTATGCCCGAAAATGTCCCAAATAAGAAGCTCAATTCTAATAAATGCAAAAATAATATATTCTAGCTTGATGACAGAGGTTTTAGTATATCCTGCAGTTAAATAATTCTTAAATGCCAGAGCTTGTACTCAAGCTGCAAAGGAAGGTCAAATTGTAAAACAAATTAGAAAACTAGATTTATAGGGAAAAAACAATATAAATATTTCCCTTGGCAGGCTTATTTAATAGGTTAGATGTGGTTGCTTTTAGAAGCCCTGAAATATGCTCAGCAAATTGATGCTTAAAGTCCCTTGCATTCTAGGTAGACTCCAACCATCAAATCATTTATGTTCTTTTCATACTTTGTTTTCCTCAACCTCTCCACCCTTCTTTACTAACCCAGTCTTCAAAGGAAATAAATAAGTGGGAATATACAGGGAATACCCACCTCAGGGAAGAAGGTCTTTGTTGATCATTTGAAATTCTTTCTACAAAAAGTCACAATCATGCACAAAAGAAGCATGTTATGAAGAAACCTACCTCTACCTAAAGACTATCCTGCCATCCTCACAAACATAAACTAGATCAAAGGAACACTCTCGTGACATGTGTGAATTCTTTGGTAGGCATGTGATCTTGTGGCATGGATCACTGCATTCCAAAATGATCACTGCAACATTCAATTAACGCCTGAGTTTATTCTCAGTTTAACGGCTCCATGGCACTCTGTTGAACCTTTGTCTGTTCCAGGAACTTGAAAACCTGTCACTCAAGATATCGACCAAGATCTCACCACTCGGGCTTTTTTCCCCTCGGTGTGTCCTCAGAAAGTGTTCCGAACCGTTGCTCCCCACAGAGTGTTGTAATCAAACTGTGGAAGGGACATGTCAAGCCCTCTTCCATCTCACAGCCTTTGCGCTTGCTGTTCCCTGTCCTGGGAATGCTCTTCCCCTGTTTTTTTGTGGGGGCGTCTACTTGTTCTCTGGCCTCTACTTCAATATTGCCCCCCGAAGAGGCTATCTGTGACCATTTCATCTAACTCCTACTCACTATTCTCTGTCCAAATACTTAGATTTTTCTCCCTTCATAATGTGTGACACAGTTATTTACATAAATATTATTCTACATAAAAAATTCAACTGAATCTGTCAGAAAGCAGATGTAAACAGGCTCCAACTCAGATGGTTTAGTAGAGTTTTGTAAAGAGATGAGTCAAAGATGTGTGAGGAGGGTGAAAGGGACCAAGGAGAGCAACTGAAGCGTTTATAAACTCATGATAGCAAGATATTATCCTCCTTCAGCTGAAGGATCAAGGGAGAGAAGATGGTGTTACCAGAACCACAGAGAGCTGAGGATTTGGGTGAGCTGTTGGGTCAACCAACAGCGTCATCACTTGCCATGAAAAGATGTAGCCATTAGAAGGACGCAGCTGAAGAAAGAGCCAGGAAATTCACGTCCTGACATGCTTTTCCTCAGGCTTCCTGCTATCTTCTGGTGGCTCCTGTGACTGAAGTCTGAAGTCAAACAGACGTCAGTTTTCAAGCCATAGCATGTAACTGTCAGTACCCAAAGCAAGGCAGAGAGTTTGGGGGAACAGAAAGGTGGCAGGCAAGAGAGGGAAACAGAGTAACCAGCTCTTTCCCCCTCCCTCAGCTTGAAGCCCCTTGAGGGCCAGAGTCATGGCAAGATTCCTCACCTGTATATTCCACAGTCCCTGAGACACAGACCGGGCTCAGGAAATATTCGTTGAAGGAAGGAATGAATTCGGAAATATACTGCCTACTTACTCCAATTAATTTTTGTCATTGACACATCATAAATAATACATTCTTAGTGCTCCGTCCTTTCTCCTGCAAAAAATACATCTATGTACACTCTACAGCTCTGTTTCTTGCTCTCTCATATTCTCCTATTTACATCCAAATTCACATGCCACTGCTCTTGTCCCTGCCTTTTCCCGTCTATGTTTGCCAAACTCTGTCAATTATCTTTTTTTAACTTAGGTCTACAATTTCTCCAATTTCTTTCTTTTTTTGTTGTGGTAACAGCACTTATCATGAGAGTTATCCTCTTAATAAATCCATAATACAATATTGCTACATGTAGGCACCCTCTTGTACAACAGCATATCCCTAGAAGTTATTCCTCTTGTATAACTGAAATCTTACTTTCATTTTATTCTCAAAGCTTATCATTATACCCAAGTCACAATTACATTTAATACAACAATCCAAAAAAATCTCTCTTGATCTATGACCCTGTAAGAAGGATTTGTTATCTATTTGTCTGTTGATTTGTTTTGAGAGTAAGGATGGAAGAGATTTCTCATGGACATCCAGGTAAAGGACAGAGTAAAATAAAATACATGTGTGTATAAACACACACACACACACACACACACACACACACACACACACACACACACGTATTAGAAAGACTAATATTGAATTGACTTTGGAGATTAACAGAGGATCATAAGCACAAAATCTTGCTCTTTTAAATTGTACCTCCTCCCAACCTTACTAGAATAGTCCATATTTCCTACCAAAAATCATTATTTTAATCATATTATTTATTTAACCAATTACCTTCCTACATATACAAGCATTCCCTGGAGATACTGGGGTTCAGTTCTAGACACTGCAGTAAAGCAAATATCACAGTAAAGTGAATCACAAATTTTTTGGCTTCCAAGTGTACATAAAGTTATATTTACTGTACTATAGATTATTAAGTAGGCAGTAGCATTATGCCTAAAATAACAATTTACATACATTAATTAAAAGACACTTTATTGCAAAACATTGCTGATGACCTTGTAAACCTTCAGCTAGGAGAAATCCTTTTGCTCCTGGAAGGTCTTGCCTCAATATGGATGACTGCTGACTGATCAGAATTGCTGAAGGTTGGGGTCGCTGCGGCTATTTCTCAAAATAAGAAAACAGTGAAGTTTGCCACGTTGACTGACTCTTCCTTTCACAAAAACTGACTCTGTAGTACTTGATGCTGTTTGATAGCATTTTGCCCACAGTTGAATGTCCTTCAAAATAGTCAGTCCTCTCAAATCCTGCTACTGCTATCTCAAGCAAGTTTTGATAATGTTCCAAACCACTGGTCGTCCTTTCAATAATGTTCACTGCGTCTTCAGCAGGAGTGAGTTTCATCTCAAGAAATCACTTTACTTGCCGTTCGTAAGAGTCAACTCCTCATTTGTTTAACTTTCATCATGAGATTGCAACAATTCAGGCTCATTGTCAGGCTCCCCAACTACTTCTGCCCGTCTTGCTATAAGCATCACATGTGCAGTTGCTTCCTCCACTAAAGTTTTGAAGCCCTCCATGTCAGTCATGAGAGTTAGAATTACTTCTTTCAAACTCCTATTCATGCTGATATTTTGACCTCTTCCCATGAGCTATGAATGTTCTTGATGACATCTAAAAT